GCTTCGAGTAGGGAGTTTTCGATATAGATGTATTTTCCGCATATAGGAAGGAATTTTTTCCCCCTATCGATAGCAAACTCTCGGAAACTTTCGATTATCTCATCTCATAACAATATATTGCGTAATAGTTTAAAGCAACAAAGTAAACAATGCTTTTCATGTGGTTGCAATTTTTTTCTAAGCTTTATATTGTTCCTAAAATTATTTATGGGACACAAATAATATTTACTACTCATCTGAAAATAATGATAATCATTTCCATGAATCAATCGAACGTTACCTAATAGAGCATCGCTACGAACGTCTATTAGCAGCGAATTGTGTCCGTTTTTTTGTACTTTCTTCCATATAGAGCTTTCTTATTGACAAATGGACATACGAGGAATCGTAACATGACATAAAGAGGAATCGTTTAATTGTCTAGCATAGAAGTAACAAAACTTAGAATAAAATGCTACGAATTCTAACGTAAAATCTTTGAAACAAGCTAACTTTTCTTTTTACAGATTTTAAGTAGCTAAGTTCGAAGATGTTATTCATTTTGAAGCCCTTGAATAACTCAAAAGTTATTATTATTATTAAAAAAAAGGTTTGATACTGCAAAAGACAAAGTAAAAAGTTGCTGCCTGTCGATGTTCCTGTAAAGATGTTGTCGGTTTGAAACAGATAATCAGCACAACTTTTTTAAAAGACTTTATCCTTATTATTTTTAAATTCTTTTTTCATTTCTGCAGTAGTTTTGTTTCGAATCTTTTTACTTTTAAGGAACTGCCAATACATTTTTATTATTATTAATAAAAAAATGTACACTTTTCACGATAAGCACAAAGTTATTCGCGGTAATGAGCACATTTTGCAAATTCTTGACGTAGTTAGAAAATTTGTTTGAAATAAACGTAACATTTTGAACAGCAGTTGAAAAACTATCTGAATAATGCTCATTGTGTCTAACAGTTCTGAAGACAGTTGGATAAATGCAAACAAAAAACTTCAACGACAAATGATAGCGACTCAGAGGATAGAGCATTCGCCTCCCAATGAGGTAAATCGTGTTCGAATCCCAGAGATGGCTGGTATTCAAATTCCGCACTCACCACAATGTAGATGTTAAATATCCTCAGTGGTAGACGTATCACAGGTTAGATTCACCTTTTCGTTATGCTAACCGCTGGAGGTTTTCCTCACACGATAACGGAAATGTGGTTTAGTTCGATCAAAAAATCCTCCATGAAGACAAATTTCTTCTAATACTTGAAGTGAGAGCAGTGATGGCTCAGGGGATAGAGTGTTCGCCTTTCAATGATGTGAATCGGGTTCGAATCCCAACAATGGCTGGTCGATACAAATCCGCATCCGACTTGCACCGACCGCAGTGCTGACGTGAAATATCCTCAGTGGTAGACGGATCATGGGTAAGAGTCCCCTTGCCGTCAAACTAACGTGGGTCATTTTCGTAGTTTTCCTCTCCATGTACCGCAAATGCGGCTTTGTTCCATCAAAATATCCTCCAAGAAAGAAAATTTCTCCCAATACTTGAGCTCAGAGTTCCCTTGTCTTCTGGATTGGGTTTAAAACTACAAGGCTACGGAGTTGAACATTAGTATTCGTAAACACCAAAAATTGGGTCAGCTGTTCTACAACGGTTATAAAATAAAATAAAACAAGAAAAAATCTTTTGGTGTCTATAGTTTTTTAAAGGTTTAGCTCGATTTCGCAATTAGATTTGATGCAATAAAAAGAACAAATCTAGGGGCTATATAAACATGAATTGTTCATTGTTATTACTATTGTCTTATTATTCAGACTTTCGTACTACCTATTTCCTATACCCAGGATTATATCAGGAAACTGATACAAATTAGACAAATTTTGGAAGGAAAAAGAAGAAGAAAAAAAACTGCGATTTCAAACGCTTAATCGTTTATATTGAATCGAATGAGATCAAACAAACCCAAGTAGATAGAACTAATGTTTTCAAGTTATAACGATCTTTCTTTTAAAAAGTACAGTTCATACCTATTTAAGAGCCTGGTGTTATTATGAAGGCACTTAAGTGAAGGTTCTTAAGAATCATTTTATGCTAAATTGAATGAGATCAAATTCAAGTCAATAAAATCAATAATTTAGAAGTTAAAAGATTTATAAAGGTTTCAAATGAGCAGAAGAGAACAATTATTGATTTTTACCTCTCCATGAGTCTGGGATAACTATCTCGACATAAGAGGCATTGTTTTATTATGTATTTTTTTACGCTAAATCCAATAAAATAAAAATTATCCTAATACTAATAGTTCCTAAATTAAAGTTTTATGCAAAGTCTAAAATTATAATTTTCATGCATAAAATCATATTTTATATTCTATCAACTTAATTCTATCAACTTTATTCCATTGAACTGGATTACGCGTAGTATTAAAAAAGATACATAAGAAGGAATAATTCATCTGAATAGATAGTAATTTTAGGCATGTAAATAAGTACAAGTACAAAACTGTATTTCTACTTGAGAGAACATTCGTATCGTTTATGTGCATATGATGATATTGGCTGTTGTCTATGCGACTCTAATAAACCTATAACTTAAAAACACCTCCATTGCTGCAAAACACTTCACGGATTTGAATAAGAGATCGCAAAGATAGTAGCGTAAGAGAAAGCTTCGGGGACGAGGACTTCGGTCTTTTCTATTTATTGTGTTTGGATGTTTATTCTTTTGCTGTATTTGTTTATATTCTCAGAAATTTTAAAGATTAAAAAAAAAATTCAACTTTAAATACGAACACTTTTATAACTTTTAGTCCTATCGACTTCCGTGATATATTTTGACGCTATACAATCAAAACAAATTTAAATAAAACAATATAACAAGTGCGTATGTGTATATATATATACACCGAAGAACCATTACCTTATGACCACCCTTCTAATAACATGTAGGACCACCTTCAGCCCTCAAAACTACTAGCACCCGCCGTGGCATTGATTCCACAAGGTGCTGATAGGTAGTCTGAGGTATCTGGTACCAAGCGCTCACCAACTGGTTCTGCAATTCCCTCACATTGCGAGGGGGTAGCATGGCAGCACGAATTTGGTTTTCCAAGTAGGACCACAAATGCTCTATTGGATTAAGGTCAGGTGAATTTGGGGGCCAAGACATGACTTGAAAGTCACTGGAATGTTCCTCGAACCAATCCATGACGATTCGACCCTTATGACATGGTGCATTATCCTGTTGGTAAACACCATCCCCCGCAGGAAAAACTGTTGCCATGAATGGGTGAACCTGGTCTGCAACTATGTTCAAGTAGCTTACAGACGTCAGGGATTGTTCTATGAGGATTAATAGGGTCCTAATGTGCCCCATGAAAACATTGTTCCTGGGCGAGCCCATTGTTATAGATTGAGGGTGGTCATAATGTAATGGCTCTTCGGTGTATATATTAATAACTTTTTACAGCGAGTTCTATCGAATTTGTTTTTCTCTCCTTAAAATCATATATTTTTTTGTTTAAAGGGGAAAAAAAACGCGGGGAAGACTGGGCAAATTTCGCGACAGGCAGCTAGTGAGCGACCTATATGCTTCTACTTTCACAATGCAAACGATCGTTTGACTAACGACTTGTTGAAAAATTCAGTTCATATTTTTCGTGCGACATCATATTCGCTTTATACTTTTTTTTAAAATTAGTACTTCAAAGAAAGCTTTCAGTAAAACAATCTACGACACAGTAATAACAGAAATCATTACAAATAATATTCAATTCCTGATTTTCAGAAACTGAGAAATCATTCTTAATGCATTTGGCCCCACTATTTTGCTCAAATTGCTCCAGATTTTCTATTTTCCAATTTTATTTGAATTTTCATTTCAATGAAAAAGTTACAAAATAATATAAAGCCAAACAAAGAGAGAATATCTTATCGATCTAAGAACTTAAGAAAAAATAAAACTGAAGAATAAAACCGAATAACTTTTTTAAAGTCTTTAGTACGGAAAGTGTTGTAATCGCGTCAACGATTTGGGAGTGCACTCCACGTTGTGAAACTTCCCCAATACTTCACAAGTCAAATAAACAATCTAGGTTTCGTATTCTACAATGAGTAAGAGAAAATAAAATTTGACCAACCACAATGCTTAAAAAAAATACTTATGAGATTTAATTACAAAACCTACTATAGGTTTCGTAATTACAACTCAAGTAAGGCATTTTTCTTGATACTATGTATCTTTTCAAATCGGCTCTAAAAATTTTTAAAAGATCAATAAAGCAATCGACTTCAAATTGCTGCTATGTATATATTTTTATTAATGCACTTAAAAACTGAAATATGTTTAAAAATACAATTTTTCAACAAAATACAAATTCCTTTTGTGTTTGAATATTTAGTTTTAATGCCATTTTGAAAAAAATTTATTATTTTTGCAAAGTGACATTTTTTAATCAAAAAAGTTTAATTTTTTTTTATCAAAACATTATTTTGGAACAAAATTTTTTAGTGCCACCAAAAAATATAGCAATATAAACTTAATTTTTTTTTTGTTTATTCTCTTCATTCCAAAGATAACTTAAGTTAACATTTTCATTATTGTTAAAGATGGTAATCAGAATTATTTTTTATTCCTCATCTTCATAACAAAATTCTAAAAATTCGATAATTTTAGTCCAAATATTGGTTTTGTCTCCATAATTCTAAAATAAAACACATTAAATGCAGTTTTGCTTTGCACTTACCTTCCTTGAGGAGGTAGTTTTTACAAATCAATTTTTTGGTTCAAAAATTATTGCTATGCAATAATTAAAAAAAATCAATTTTTTTAATTATTGCATAGCAGATTTTCGGCTTACAACTTTATTGTTTTAGAAAATAGTACCTTATTCTCAGTCATTTGCATACTTCTCAATTTTTATTTAAGCATTTCATAAGGCGTTTAGGTTGAAGACAAGGTTGATTTGTTTGTTTTATAATTGTTTTTGATATTTCAAGAACAAAATAAATACTAAAGTTATGAAGTAATATTTATTTTTACATTTAAAATTTTTTTTGAAGAAATACAGCTCAAGCATAAAATTAGGCAGGTATCACTAATTTTTTAAATTATATTTGTCTAATATTATAATCTAATTAATAAAAAAAATCAAAAAAAGATAATAATCAGTTTATATTTAAACTAACTTAATGCTAAATTTTCGTTTAAAATCAATTTATTTTACTTAATATTGAATAAGCCAATATTAATGTATTAGAACTGGAAATTATGTATAGATAAATCTAAAAAGAATGGGTATGGGTTTGAATAACTTTCTGTCATATTGTAAAGAAATTAAAATATTTTTATTTCAATGTTTCCTTTTGAAACAAAATTAGCTATTGTATGTAGCTAAAATATATAGCAATATCAAAAAAAATGCTAAAAAAATAATTTATTTAAAGTCAATAACAACATATAAAGATGAAAAAAAAACAACAATAACTATTTTATATCTTTAGGATTCCAACAAAAATGATTTTGCTTGTCAAGATTGTCCAGTTTTTGCAGTTCTTCCTGAGTCAAGGAAAAATCAAATAAATCTGAATTTTCTTTCAAACGACTTGTACTCTGTGTCTTTGGGATGACACCTATTTAAAAAATAATAAAAAAAATAATTAAATTAAAATTAAATAACAATAAAAGAGCAGACTCACATATGCCTTCATATTATATATATANNNATGTCATTTTCTTATATATATAATTACATATACCAGGCTTAGTAGTGGTTTAAAATAAAAACCAAGACAGTATTTCGCAAAAAAATCAGGACATTTTTTGGTACAATACATACATACTATTTTTAAAAAGTGGAAACCAAGATGTAAAAAAAAATAGTATAACCTACTGCTTTGAAAATTTCGTTTCATGTGGCATATTTAATTCTCCACAACGAAAAACCAAAGCAAATTAAAATATACATACAGTGAGAAATCCCAGAACCAAAATCTTCTTGACTTAGGAAATAGATACCTCAATATAAAGATAGAACATACATTTTAAAAAGAAAACTAATAAATTATAGTTATTTTTGTTAAAAAATAAATTAGTTAAAAAGAAAATGTAATACATCACAATCTAGAAGCAAAAATCATCTAAATATAAAGAGAAGAAACTAATAAATTAAAACAGTAGATATTTAAAAGTGCTTTTGATTTCGCAATTAATGAAATGAAATGTATATGAAATGAAGAGCGCTTTCACTGCAATACGGAGGGCAAGAGAAAAAAAATGCTGCTCAAAAATGTTAATAAGTTTATCGTTAACAACATTTTAGAATTAGCAATTGGACAGACTAGGAAAGAAATTTTGAAAGCGAACTACTGAGTTTTTCTTTTATTAGGTGACCCAAAGACTTAAATAGATTATTAGTTTGAAAGATGAGTAATTAGTGGACAGTCTCTAAATTTGAACTATCCCATGCTTGCAATTTTTAAGAATAATAAGTTTAATCATTATTAAATGGAATAAAAAGATGATATAAGCATTCCAAAACTATTAAGCTTTGAAGTGTATCAAAAGTGTATTAATGAAGTGTATTTTAGTTTTTCGAATTATTTCCCTTAGGTCTAAAAGACTATAAAAGCAAATACAATTTTTAGTTTTAATACATCTATTTCTCATTATTTATTTTCCTTCCTATGTTCATAATCAGGGAAGAAATAAATCAATAAAGTTGATAAATCATCCAGAGAAAGCCATTATTGTGATATTTCTCTCACAATTTGGTTGACAAATGAGATTTAGTGATAATTAGAAGAAAATGTTACTATACAAGTAAAATACATTTGTTTAACAATGCATTAAATATAGATTTTTCTTAGTTAAAAGGGGATTGTTAGTTTATGAAATCAATCTTTGAACTGTCTCTTATAATGCATTTTCATTTAAAAAAAACTTGAGATCAAATCTTAAAAATAACAATTTTAATTCAAATCCAAAATATGACAGTTAGTCAAATTTAATCAAATTAGGACAAAAAAGATAGTTAGGATAGTTTACAAATCACAAAAAAATGACAGTTAATAAAAATCAGTTTAGTGAATAGTGGTTGAAGATAGAGATGTAAGGTTTGCTATGTTCTGCTCCAAAGTACAAATTTTAAAAACTTTGTCAACAGGTAGTGTTGCTAACAGGCAAAACAGTGAACTAACGTTTTCTTTGGCTTATCAAACCATTTCAACACCAATCTCAGCACCTGTTAATGTTATACATATAATGTGTCACACTGCTGTTGTAAATGATGGTTACTTTAAAAACGTTGTTTAATACTTTTTTAAATTAGCAGTGCCATCTGTTGATTAGCTTTGCAACTCAACTTTAAACTTGGTAACAATAATATCTAGTTTTCTAAGCAGAACTCAATAAGCCATATGTTCCTGCATTATTCTTTATTATATTCATTATTAATATCAAGCCTTTTGATTGCATTTTTTAATAGATATTTTAATCCAATTTTCATTCATATCTCATATATATCCAATATTTTCATATCTTACATGTCTGCGTGAATACATATATGCATGTATGCCAATAATGTTAAACTATACCAGATTTTACAATACCATTTAAAAGAAAATTCCACTTCATAAATTTTTCAAACAGATCAAAATAATTTTTTTCTCTGAAGCTTGCTTCTTTTTCTGAGTTCTCTCATTTATGAATCTTTTTTTTTTCTTTTTTTTTTTTGAAAACAAAATGAGAGACTTGTTTATTAGCTGCTTGAAGCTGTACTGACATTATTTCCATTCTATATCATTGTTTTTTGCTCGTTACAGGGGTTTCCCTTTTGAGGCAAAATAAGAAAGGTGGTAGGATGGGCAAAGCACAGGAAGGGTGGTTAAGGAAAGTATGCGAGCCTAAATTATAAAAAAAATTGTGAGTGCAAATTTTTTCAGCTAACTTCAATCTATTAATAATCCAATCATATGAAGAAGGTGACACTAAACAACTGGTTAGGTAATCTTTTTTCTTCTTGATTCCGGTGACTTGCAAGCAAGATGCTTCTAAACAATAAAGAAATATTCTGGAAGTTCTGAATTTGATTTCCCCAGCGTAAGACACTGTCGACTAAAATGCATTACAAATGTGTTTAATAAAGCTGTCTTCTACCTATCCAACAGGAACATTGGCTCCTGAAGAAAAATAATTGCATGGCTGAAGATCTCTTAAAATCGATCACGTGTATATCGACTGCATAACTTTTCAATTCCTTCTATATCTGATTTAATGCTTGCTCCAGGTGATAGTGATGAAAGCAAATAAAAACTATCAGAGGATATACCCAGAACTATTCAAGAATTTCAATGCATAAAAACTCTAAAACAATATTTATTAGCAAATGTAAACCAAAAAAGCAAATTTACAAGTAATAGAAAGTATTGAGAGGGATATTGTTAAAATTGTATCTTAAGGAGAAAAAGAAGGAAAAATTACAGTTTTTTTAATAGTCAACTTGGAAGTGTCAATTTTTGATAAATTTGCATAGATTTTTTCATCCTAGTTTTCCGTTCTCTGCTTCATGGATTTTTTAATGCTAGTCCAAAGGCAAATGTAAAATCACGGTTCCACTTTATATATATGTCGAGAAAAAATTGGAAACCTCTATTTTATTTTCATATATTTATTTATTAATCATAAGTATATTTTCGAACCAATACTAGCAATGACATAATTTTCAATTATTTTTTTCAAAATAAATGTACTTACTCATTCCATGGTCTATAGCCCATCTCAGCAACACTTGTGCACATGTTTTATTGTGATTAAGAGCTATCTGGACAACTGCAGGATCAGACATAAGCTATAAAAATAAAATATGAATGAAATTTTTTACATCACATTTATCTTTTATCCAAGTGAGATAACAATTATGAAATATGAGAATAATTACATTCAATAGACAGACAAATTCTAGCTAGGCAAAGTATGAAAAAATATGATAAGGCTATTATATAAATCCTCAAAAATACAAACATTCTGAAAAAACAATGAGAGTGCAGCTAAAAAAATTAATTCAATATATGTAAAGAAAACGGAAAGTAATATAAGACAAAATTTATGCTATCCTTATTAAAGGAAAAAAAATGTTCATTTAAAAAATAAAAAAAAATAAAATTAACCTACTTCTTGCAAGTTGGTACCCTTGAAGGATATTTTAAATTATATTTCATTACATTCAAAATGAATTAGAGATGCATTTTATACTTTGCTGGTTCCTCCTTTGACATTCTATAGAATGCTTAGGAAAAATGTGACACGTGACTCATTTCATACATTGCTGGCTAGTTTTAGGCTTTATATACAGTGTCTATGAGTTCTATAGAATGCTGGATTTCAAACTTTGCCAGAAACACTTAGATTAGATTTTTTCACCCTTAATTTTGATGCTTGACTTTTAAAGTCTAATCAAAACAATTAAAATCAATATCAAAAATACTTTAGAAACATTTTTTAAACTTGTTTACCTAAAGATAAATTCATGCTACGAAGAAATAATTAAAAGAGTAAGCTTTACTACTAGTAAGAGTAACAATTTTTCATTGTTTATAACTTACAAATAGCTGAAAAAGTTTTGAATTACAAGATGAACAAATATTTACATAATTTTAGACTAAGACATAACAAATGACAAAAGCCAAAATTTAAACAGAATTGGATTAACTGTTCTTTAAGAATGAGAATTTAAAAACAAAAAATTAATATAAAGATTTTATTTATTCACATAACTAGTTCTAGCAAAATAGTAAATAGTGAAATTAATATTAAAAGACAAAAATAATTCATCATGATTTTTTAGCTCATGCTAAGACAACTTAGTTTTGTCTGTAAAAATTAATTATCACATTTAAAGTTACCCCTCAAATCATTTAGATTGCATGCTAGTATACAAAAATCTCTAAATTAGAATTTAAGTCATTTAGGCCTTTCATTCTTTATTTTGAGCACGGTATACTTGTTTTTTAAGTTTATAAAATAACAAAAATTTAGTTGTTGAAGCAGTCATGACATAATAGAGAAGAATATTAAAGAAGAAAATATATTTCTCTGAATTGCTTTCACAAATAACTTCCCTATGTAAAAAATTATGCAGTCAGGTAAAAAATTGAAGAATAACTGGTACATGAAATAATAATGTAATGTTTAATGTAGGCAGAAGAAAATTTGTCAATATTATTTTCAAAGTCCAGTTTTAATACACAAAATTAAAAATAGTCTAATGGTAAACAGAAATATAATTGTTAAGCCTGAAATTTTTTTGGCAGCAATTTAAATGATAATTTGATCTAAATTTCAGAAAGGCTCAATTATTTGTCAATAATTTTTTTCATTCAAAATTGTTTAACTAATCACAATAAGAAAATATTTAATATCATATTTATTTCAAAGCGAGAACCATTATGTAAACTAATCAATTAATTGAACAGATTATTAAATAGTATTGAATTAGAATAGAATCTAAAGTACTATTTTATTAAAGAAAGCACAAAATATTTTATTTGAATAATTTTTCAAACTGAAGTACTTAATTATAATTTTTCAAACTTTGAATAATTTTTCAAACTTTTGTAGAAAAATATTTCATTTATCATGATCAGAAAATGTAGATGCAGATATTAAAACTATATTTCGTTATTCATTTTTAACTGAATTTCGAGATCCATTAAATTTAACTTATATGTTTTGTAACTTTTATCCTAATTTAATAATGTGATCAGAACCCAAATTAGGTAACATGCATCCCATCCTCTAGCAACAGTTTTTTAGAGAGACCTGATGGTTTTCCTGTTGTCACACAGATAGCTTTGTCTCTGGGTCATTGCCAATTCAGTTAGGCTGTAGTCAGATAGAGTAATTAAAACCATAAAATAAAAATTTTAAATTTCCAAATTTCTTAAAAATTTACAACTCAAATTATTGTTTATTCTAAGTTATTGTTGGAGACATATTTTTTATCATGACAATTTGTAAAATAGCACCAATAAATATTTGTTAAGCCCATAGAAAGATGTTTTGAAAATACAAACAAGGCAAAACTGCACAGCCATTATTTTGATTGAAAGTTTTATTTCTTTAACCCTCTAAATGATGAACCCATGGGTAAAATTTTGTTAAAAAGTTTTTTGCAACACACAGCTTTCCTATTAAATATCACAGGGTAAACAGTTTTTTTTCCAGATAAAAAAGCTTACAACTGAAATTTTGTAAAAGCAGAATTAACGCTTAAAAGTTAACATTGTTTTTTTACCTATGTCAATAAAAGGCAATTCATCAGTATATTTGTTTAGAAAGGCAATTAATTTTTTTATAGCAAAGAAGTTACATAACAATTCAAAACAGAATTAAACAGCTCTTCTCAAATGTAGATTTTGAAATTTGCAGGTACATAATAAGCTAATTTTTAGTTAAAATAATTCATAATTTTTGTTAAAAAAAAGTAATAGTTTCTTATTCTAAATATTAACTTTATTATAATACTTTTATCTGTGTTTTAAGTGAATATATACAGTTTAATATGCCATGCGTGTTAATGTAGCATCAAAAATTCATTTAAAAACTATGAAAATTTGTGGCAATAACTGATAAAAATGCGATCATAAAGCCTCCTATGATTATAGGTGAATTACCATTAATTGAATTCTTAAAAAAGCGATTGTTCAAAGTCAGGGATTTGAGCACTTGTGAATTAAGCGTGGAATTCACAGCATATAATAATGCCGCATTAAAATCTCAAGCTTTAAAAACCAGGTTGAAATCTGTAACGATAGCTGACAAAGTTGTGATTGGCAATTAACATGGAATTTTACATTGTTGGATGTAATTTGTTAACTATTGCCCATTTTTATTTTTTATTGAATATGGATGCTTTGATGTTTGCTTATCTTAAGAACCTGTTATCTTAAAAAATCTATTTTTCGAACTTGCCGAAGTTCTATCAATTCCGGATATGGGACATTCTACAGTATATAAATATGTTGCATTAGATTATTTAACAAAAAAAAGTAATGATCCAAAGTAACACTAATAATATTTTAGAAATGCTCAAAGTATAAAAGTACAAAAAGTCCATTCACAATTAAAAAGGATATAGTTTACAATGTTTCCACTTTTAATATTTTATTACTAGTTTCCCTCTCCCACAAAATAAAAAAATGATAAAAGGAAAAAGAAATAGAAAACAATGCTATTAAATTACATTTGTATTTGGAATATAATTTAAGAAATACAAATATGGAAAACTCAAAAATTTTGTATGCATGATACATGAGTTTCATACATATTATAAAAATTCTATCAGATCATTAAACAAGTACATACAAATATAATTCAATTAGATTATATAATTGCAAAAGAAAATTTCAGCCATCAAAAGAACTTAACAAAAAGAGAATAGCAGCAATAGTCATACCAGAATTTTTAAAAACGTTATACAAAATACATTATGTTTTAAAGTAGTTATGTTTTAAAGCATTTTAAGTAGTTATCTTAATAAAAGTAGTAGTTTAACTTTGTAATGTTCTCCCAAGACTCAAAAGATTTGATTTACTAACAAAAGACTGATCTAAATAAAAGTTTTGTATATTTTTTATTCCTTTTGATGGCATTATTTTTTATTATTATAGCACAGAGGTTAGCCAGGAGGCAAAGTTGTCACCTAATAAGTTACATTTCATTCGTAAGCAAATTTTGATATTTATGTATTTAAGTGATTGCTGGATATCATGAGCGTTTAGCACCTGCTAGCTAAACTAAAGTTTTGTATATTTATAATTCTTTCTGTTTGCATTTTATAATTATTGCATGGAAGTTTGGCAGGTAGCAGAACTGTCACCTAATAAGTTATATTTTATCTGTAAGTAAGTTTTCATGTTTATGTATTTAAGTATTAATTGTTAAATCTCATGGCTCAATATCATGAGTATGTCAACCAGAATTTTTACTATAAAAATACTGTACTCTGAGGCCTATGAGTGAAATAAAATCCAAAGATTAATTCTCCCTTAAGTATTATAATACGTCAAGAAATGAATTCCTAATGGTTCCAGTTGGTGCATGCTCAGGAATTCCGCCAGCTAATACATATTATTGTGTTTAAATTTGCCAACCGTAGGTTTTGTTAAAAGCTATGTTCTATATAGAAGTTGGTTATATGCTATTACACTTGTAGTCTACTATACCCTTGGATTCCAATGCTTAAACAAATAAACTATGTTATAATGCTATAATATATATCCCATTTCCTGATTTTGAGTCAGTTATTGTGTGTATAATGTCACATCTTTCAGTTGACATCATAAGTATCATTATTAGTTAGCTACGAATGCTTACTTCCTTACAACCAGACCTGGAGCCAAGAGAAGAATAAGCTTGAATATGGATCCCCTTCTCATTACAAAACTTTCGTATTTCCTTTTGAGTTAGGTATGGATGGACTTCTATCTAAGGAATTATTTGAAGGGGAAAAAAAGCTAAAATAATTTGAATAAGAAATTTAACAATAAAATTTTTAAAAAAAAACAGCAACAAACAATTGATACTCATTTATTAAAAATACACTAGTGAAAAACATTTATTACTAACATGAGATAAAGGATCATTCAGATAGCATAATTATTTGCATACTTATGCATTAAAACAGAGAAATGTATTAAACTTTGCCAGGGTACAATTGGGTACAACAAAGGTACAATTGAAGCAAATAAGACAGTGCCATGAGTCCCTGAATATAAGGGCCTAAAATATTTTCTAATTAAAAAGATATTTTATAACATATTAAAAGTGCCCCAGGTATTGAGGGGGCCCCACTTGATGTGTTTGCCCCTAAGCCTCCCAGAATCTAGCTACTGAACTTTACACTAATAAACTTTTTGCTATATGCAAAATAATAATAATAAATAAATCTATTATAATTTTAAATTCAATTAAGAAGTTCTGTTATCATATTATTGTTTAAGATATTTTAATCAATAGTGCATAAGGTAAACAAAAAAGTATTTTAATTTACTCAAATTTAATTTTTAAGAATCTTAAGACTATAAGAAGCAAAAGACCACCCGGAAAATTAATAAATTTTTATTCTATATTCTTAGATCCACATTTCTCTAAATATGCAAAATTTATTCTGCATTCTTAAATGCACATTTTTCTAACTATGCAAAATTAAATAAATAAAAATTTCTCCCTTGTGAAGTAAATTTAAGGCAAAATCATAAAGTTTAAAGTGCTTAAATTTTATCATGATCTTTTTTGATAATATCTATTAAAAACATTTGTAAGTAAGAAAAAAATGTCAATCACCCTAAATTAATCTATTAAAGACTTTTATCTTATTAAGATTAAAAACTGTACCTGTAGAACAGCAGGCACAACACTACAGTACTGTAATAACTCCTGAATATGCTGTTTAGTGTAATTGGAGATACCAATAGCTTTGAATTTGCCTGTAAAATTAATTTTAAAATAACATTTAAGAGCAATGCTATCTTGATATACATAGAATAAAATATATTCTTGCTTCACATATTCTCGTGAAATATAAATTTTACAAGAAAATTTAAAACATTATTAAAAACTTTAACTCAAAGCTTTTTGTTCTTTATTCAACAAAAACACACTGACTTATAGTATATGTGATGAACTTAGCAGATAACTAGCGTGCCCAGGTTTTAAGCAAATACAATAAAATAAAATTATTTTTTAAAATTTGTATTCTAATAAAAGAAGGACATCTACTAATCTCAACTGGGTCAATTTTTTCAAGAGGACAAAATTAAAGCACACAGTTACATAGTTCTCCAAATTTCACATTCAAGAAAATTTTTTCAATCTTCTAAATAACTAATTTTTTTAAATATGTTTTAAAAACTTAGCTAAATTTAAATTAATGATGAGATTTTTCTATAATTGCCTGAAACACCTTTCCTTTTCATTGAACAAAAATTAGCAGAAAACCACTTTTCAAATATGTAAATCAATTTACTAAATAAAAAATTTAAAAAAATTGTAAAAGACAAGGAAAAAGCATTGATTGATCTCATTGGCATCCCAATAACTGATGCCCAATGACTTACAAAACAAAATAAACTTATTGAATACCTTCTTTATACATCTCCTCCAATTTAAGCCAGCTTTCTTTTCTGAGTTCAGCATTCTTTAGATCATCAGGTTTCATCCCAGATGAACCAGGCCAATGAATAAGGTAAAGATCTAAATAATCTAACTGAAGATTACTTAGTGATGTTAATGCTGATATTTTAGCCTTTTCAGAACCTTGATTTGCAGGGCCTATCAAACAAAGACATGAAAAATTTGCATACTCTATTAATTCAGCTGAATATGAATAAGATTTCTTAATTTACAAAGATGAATGTAGACATCTTTTAAGCCTTTGAATTACGTTCATAAATAAAGATTATTCAAATTAGTAGCAGTATATAAAAAAAACAAATAGAATCTAAGTGGAAAGTCTTTCAACTTGCTTGAGTAGGATAAAAAAGTATCTCATATTCCATTACTTAAAATAGGATCAAATAATGTTGTTTAGTTTTAAAACTTTTTTTTAATTTTTATAATAACTAAACATCAATTATAAAAAGCTTATTCAAAAAATAAGTCTATAAAAAAATTAAAATTATTATTCAGGAAAGTACTAATATATCTCTTATTTAGAGAATCTTTATTTCATATAGACTCATATTTTTTTGCAATCATGTACGGAGATATTAAAATGCAACTAAAAATATATCTATATTTTTAAGATTCATACAAATTTGAAAATTCTTTTCAAAATTTAACAAAGAAAGTGTTGGTTGGAAATATCAGCTTAACAACCTGATACATTTCATGTGCCGTCATACTGGTAAAATAAATAATAAAATGTAAACATAACAAGACACAGAATATTGTTAAATATCTATCACTAATGAAAAGGTAACAATGTACTCCAAAGAGCTCAAATAAATGCTATACAATGTAAACAACTGAAATTGACTCTTCTTTCTTCTTCAGAAAATAAAAATGATACAACAACACTCTTTTCCATATTAATAAATATTTACGTAACATAGTTTAAATTTTTTAATGGCAAATGAAATGAAAAAAAAAATGCAAGTAACAAATAAATATACATGCCATTATTTAAGTAAAACATGTTTTAATTGTGTTACCAAAATAAAAAGGATATTTTAAAATAAATCAAACACATAAGATGGTTTAAAGCAAAAATGACACAACCTTGAATTATTTTTATACTATAATCGGTACCATAGGTAGAAATATAAGCAGAATAAAAAAAATATTAAGTGTGTGGCGATATCTCATTCACAGACCAGTTGAGTGTGTTCAAATACGAGGTCACTCTTAAATATCTCTCTAGAGCCACTCAGAAAAGACTCCCAGGAAGATATGTATATTCAAGTTGAATTAGATTGTTAGTGCTTAAAGTGCTAATTGTATAAAAACATAAATATTAATTGAGAATATTTTTAATATTAAAAAAAATTAACAAAATATATTTACCTAATTTACTTGTAATAAAAACATCTTTCCTCTTTAAGTCAATCTTCTTCAAAACTTGACCAATAGAAGATTCGTTTTTATAAACACTTGCAGTGTCTATTTTAAATTAATATAAATACATTGCATTAATATCACATAATTTGAGAAGGATACTTTGAATTTAAAATAAACATGAAAGACATTGAAACATGCATGCTATGGTACTACTGGTTAGGTTTGCTAATCTGTAAATTAAAAAAAAGATAAAACTGTTGTTTGAAATACTAGTACAAGGATCATATATGTATGAGATAAAAAGAAGTTTTATTTCCCTAATTTATTGGTGATAAAAATTTAAAATTTTAACATTCTAATTTTATTTTAAATACTATTGGTTTAGAAGCATTAATAAAGGTTATTGAAATTGTTTTTGAAAATTTCTGGCGAACACATGTATATAATTTTCTGGATCAAAAGGAGATTAAGAAAAAAGAAAATATGAGTAAACATAATAAGTAAACAAATATTAAAAATATCAATGAAAATACACTAGCTGTTTAAAAGTAAATGAATTATAAAATAATAATAACAATTAAAGTTGGAAGAAAACTATACCTATAAGACGATATCCTTGATTAAGAGCAGCTTCAGTTACCTCTAAGACTTCTGGAGATTTTAAGAGGAATGTCCCAACTATGAAAATAAATATCTAATTTAGAAAGTCAGAAATACTATTCTAGCAGAAAACGAAAAATTTTTTAAGATATGCGTGTTAGCAAGACACCACTTCATCAGAGAACACACTGCCTGCCAACACCCCAGTGTGTCTCCTGATGAAGTGCTGTCTTGTTAACACACTTTTCTTAAATTTTTTTTCATTTTCTGCTAGAATAGTATTTCCGACTTTTTTAATTAAAATAAGACAAATTTGGTTTCAGCTGCTTTTCCATTTTGATTTATTATTTTAAATGTTATTTACTTATTTTGCTGTTTTCTGAATATGTGAAAATCAGTTTTATTCTTTGAATAAATATCTAATGTAAGATACATTTATTAACTTCAGAAAAACTATTCAATACCTGTAAAACTTTAACACAATTTTAAACAGCACAAAAATATTACTATTTTATCAAACCCAAACAAAGCTAATAAAAACATAGAAACATACTGCCAATGTAAGCACTAATATGGTAAAATCTTTTGGTTATTAACTCCTTCTTCACAGCAATCATTATTTAAAACTACATATTTTTAAATTGAAGATTTTTAGGGCTTGATTTTTCCTAGTTTTCCCGTCTATACATTTAATATCTAATTTTAGTTCCAGTTATCATGAAATATTTGCTTTAGATTCTTGTTAAAAAAGTGGAACTAATGAAAAATTGAAAATGTAATGTAAATGTAAATTGTAAATGTGGAACTAATGAAAAATTTAATGGGTGATAAAATGAGAATAGGCAAATTTTTTGTAACGAATAAGAGAGCTACCTATTATCTTAAAATTCAAGCTTTTAGAATTTCGAATTACGCATCAATTAAATGTGACGTAAAAATTGAAGATAATAAAAATAATACTATACGTCCTAATAGAGGCATTTGAACACCATTATTCAATACAACACTTGTCATTTTGGTCATTTAAAAAGATTATGATTTAAACAATTGAATCAACTAATTAATGAGTATTTTAAAATAAATAAAACTAAGATTAGTGTGAATTTATCAAAATCTCCCCTTCGGACAGGTTTCAGATTCAGAACGGCTTTTGATTGGTTGATTGTTTATCTAAACCCGTTTTGAGCGTTTATTTTTGTTGCATTAAAGAGGCAATTTTTGAAATACATTTGAATTTCGTTTAAATGACTAAGCTACATTTACATATTTATAATTTTCTTTTCCCTTGCTTAAGCTATTATTTAAAGCCAACACTGAATAAAAGTTTAAACTATTTACATCCAATTTAGGTTTTTAAAATGATCCTTATCTTGAGTGAATTTTTCTAGATTATTATTTTTTATAAAAGCTGTAAGCCAAAAATAAGCAATAAGTATATACCAAGATTAAAATGATTGCAAGCAAGTATAAACTGCCTTTTAAAACAGTTGATGGCGTATCTCGAAAAACCGCTAAGTAATTTCTGAGGTCGCATTAGTTATAGTGGTGTAACGTTTAACTAAAGTCAATTAGTCACTTGAGCTAAGTACAAAATGTCTGTTCTGAATTAAACTTTCGTTGTTACAAAATTTTCTTTAATTTGAATTTTTGTTTCCTAGCCAATTATGGAGGAAAGTAAGACCATTTTTTATAGTTGGTTTCTATTTAATTCTAATATGAGTTTAGGATATTTCCGTATCGTGATTTGTTGTGCCAACTACAAATGCCAAAGTCCCCTTCAGTGATAATTTTTTAGTTGCTAATGAGCTACTGCCTTAAGTCGCCAATTATTTTAGCGTAGATAGCGATCGATCCCTTTCTTGCAAAACACTAAAGAGTTTGGAATGTAAATGTAAAAAAAAAAAAAAACATTAGGTAGATTATATTAGAAACAACTTTGATTGCAACTTAGAAATGAGATGTGAAGGTTCAATCACCAATCTTCGGCATTGATCAAACAAATATTTTATTTTATTTCACTAATTTTATTTTGGGGGTTATTACTGTATCCTTTTCTGTCGCGTCAATGGCAATCTAATGGATTTTAAACTTGCAATTTTTTTTAAAGTATACTTATAGAGGTTTGCCCAGGGGTGGCTATAAAATGGTCATGTTTTTTTATTAGTTTCTGATGGTTCGTGGCCCAGAAATTGCAAATAAAACTAAACTAAACTAACTCAGTGGCGTGACAGCCCATAGAGGGCTATGGCCTACTGTGCCCATCTCAGTTTTCTTGACCTTGGGCTCTGGGGTGCAGGAGCAGGTGTTCCGGTTAGGTGGTCAGCCGAACGTGAAACCCCCAGTGTTTAGTTCCCAAGCATGCTTGGTACTCATTTATTGATCCACTGAAGGGATAAAAGACTGAGTCAACCTTGCCCGGCCCGAGGATCGAACCTAGTATCTGTGGCACGAGAGAGCGAAGCACTACCACTCGGCATCAGAAATTGCAAATACTCTATGATTATTCTGCAGCGAATTATGATTTAGAAATCATTCCTTCATTTCTGTTGTTTTATTAGAAAATATGGTATTTTTTTATTTAGCTATGCGCCTGTATTAAGTTGCCAAAAAATCTATAGTTATGCAAACAATTTTTTAATTATTTATTTTTTAACTCAAAAAAATACACACAGAAAAATGGCCTAAGTCCATGTAATTAATTAAAAAAATTCCTAGTTTTCTGGATTGGTTTCAAAGCTACAAATCTACTGAATTTAACATCAGTAACTGCGAAACCTATATAATTCAGTTGAATGTTTTTTATAAAATAAAATGTATGCAGTTAAAATTTATCAATGCAAAACATTTGAAAACTAGCATTTTTTTTTTACTTTAGTTCATTTAAGTAAAAATATATTGTTAGCAAACTATACCATCTTCTACTCCTTAGTAAAGTCCTTAAAAAAATAATAAATCAGTAAACGATTATCATCACCAGTGGAAAACAGCTTATTATTCTGTTCTCTTTTTTGCCTTATTATTTAAGTATTCAAGTGCAAAGATAACTATCTTTTCTTACTCTGTTAATTCTATGTTTCAGGAATTCCACTTGATCGAGATCTGTCATTTCAGAATATTGAAAAGAAAGCATGTACTTTAAGTTGTGAAAGTTACTTTGATTTTTTATCTGAGCCACCTTCCTTGATGAACATTTCTTCAGTTTCCATAGCTATCAAACTATGGGCAGCGGCTGGTATGAATAAACTCATGGTGAACCAACGTCAAAATCAACAACGCCATCGCCAAAATATACACGAATCGCGTGTACACTTTGAGTTAGCATACTGTCGATTGGAAGAAAAAGCGCTTAAAAAAGTAAATGAATTAATCTTGCCTGAGTCATTAAAACTTAATATAACTCACTGTATGAGGCCTATAGGATTGCAGTTTCGATGGTTCTCTGAACGAAATAGAAAAGAGTATTGTAAGTTTTATGATCTTCATAAAAAAGGAGGCTTACTCTATTGGTCTATGGAAGGTGTCATTGATCAAGTCAAATCTCTCAAAGAACTGATTAACAATGATTTGACAGGAAAAAATTTTGATTATTTCTATCAATTAGCTTGCAAGTACTGCTTAGAAGAAGATATTTTAGATTTATGGGAGAAAGCACCATCTGCAAAAACTATGCGAGTCGATACTTTAAGTGTACTCTATAACAATCACATACTAGCATATTGGACTGCTGTTCAGAATAACGAGTTGTCTGATTTGTTAGCAAAGCTTTTGACATTTGATCATGTCCTTGATCAAATATATAATTCCGAACTTGGTATTTATGAAAATATGATATTATTATCAATTTTCATTGGTAATTCATTTGCTCTTAAATATTTCTGGTTTAAATTATCAGATCATGAAAAAAATGTGAATATAGAAAACTTTGTACTTAAACTAACTGGGAAAATTAAACGCCATAAATATATTCAGTACCAAACCTATGATGTGTACACTGTTATGCTATGGTTTCTACTTGCTCAGATAAGGGACCCAGAAAAGCAGAAACAAATTTTTCATGCTCATTCAAAGACAATATTATACAGTTTGTGTTTTTATTGGCCATTTCAAAGATTTTTTGTGCCTGCAATGCTTAAGTTAATGAACTATATTCATATTGATACCTATGCATCAATTATGAAAGATCTTGTTCCGGAAATAAAAGATGGATTTTTAACAGGGGAACAGTTCAGGACAATTTGGCATCATAGCCCATTGCAATTTCAAAATCATTTCCTCTCTATCATAAACAGTAAGCCTAAGGCCAAATTATTTATGATATCGACATTGCTATTGGCTGGTGAAATTCCAACAATCTGCATTATATTGAAAAATGATTCTCCAATAGAAAGAAATAGATTTGTGGCTAATTTAATTCAGTCTAACCTTAAACGCCTAATACAGGAAAATAAGTTAAGGTTTGCTAATGCTTTGTTATCAAAGGAAATGTCAGAGAGTGACATCAATACTTTCAAGCAACATGTTATGGTCACCTATGCAAATGACTACTGTTGTGATTGCATGCGCAAACTTAATTATAATGCAACTGAGCAGTTTTTGAATTGGGGATTTCAATCTCTTAATGAAATTCAATATTTTAAGAGAAATCAATTAAATTTAAATGAAATATTTATTTCTTTAATTCAGTTAGGTGATTTTGACTATGCTAATCGCTTTTTGAGCTGGTGTTTTGATTCCGAAACGGAAGTGAATCAATTCATAAATGGATTTGTCAGTGAAGATAATATATTATATTGTGAAAAGTTGGTGTTCAGGTTAAGTTCTCTTGATAAATATGGGTGGGACATTTTTAAAAAGTTTTTAAATCACAGTTCTTGTTCCTTCTCCAAGATTACGATCTTGAAAAAGTTACTTTTAAAAGAAGTGGGGCATATAGTGGAAGCTCATAATTTGATCTTTGCAACAAGGCTTTTAAATTGGTGTCTCCCTGACATTGTGGAATCTAACCGATATAAGTATGAACTGTTGCTTTCAAGAAGAGGTATTAATTCAATTTTAGAGGCATTACTGATACTTCCAATTTGGGATAATATTAAAAGTTTGCTAAAATGGTTTTCTCCTCTGTCCAAAGAAATAATCGCTAAATTGAAGTATACGTTAATTACCAAAAAATTTCGCAGTAGAGTTTACCCTCCCCAAAACCAAAGAAGAGCTTTATTCTATGTACTAGATCTTTTTGTTGACAGTTACAGTAATCCTAACTTTGAAGGTGATATTGAATTTGATTGGCATGTGAATGGTATATTAATTGGATATAATACACAGTGAAAACACGGATACCGAATTATACTGTGTGATGATTAAACAGATTTTTTAAAAACAAAAATTATAAATTGTTGTTCTATTTTATCAAATTTGCATATAGAATTCAAATACTTTTAACCTTGCAGAATTAACTGATTAGCAGAATTTCTCCTGCATCTCCAGAATTAGCTTCAAGAATCCTTATTTTCCACCAATCTCAACATACTATATATACTTTATTATAAAAATTATGTTTTGTTAAACATATACTAATTATATAATACAAACATAGAATTAGATTCCAAAAAGTTGATTTAAACTCAATTTGAATACCATACAATAATAGCTAAAAGAGAAATAACTCTATTAATAGTGAAAGCTATTAAATAAGTAAATAGAATTTTTAAAAATCTATAAAAAAAGAAAAATTTAAAAAGAGTTTGCCAGATTTTTTTTTTTAATTAGAGCATTTTGAATAAAAACTGAATCCTATTAAAAATATTTCTTATTTTAGACAATTCTGATTAATTAAAGAGAAATAACTGATTTTTTATCAGTTGTATTTTATGATGTTTTGAGTTGCATATTTAATGTTTCTTTATAAAAAATCCATAAACCTGCTCTTTCTCTTTTATTAATTTGTCTTAGAAAAAATTTGAGTTAAAAGATAAACCGCAGATGCATGGTTTCAGCTACAAGACAAGAGCAACAGTAGACCCAAGCTAAATTTTGGCAGACCAGAGGCAAAATTTTTTATACAACAGTTATGAACAACCATTTATATTTAGCAGGACTTACAAAAAATAGAAAATACTATGTTGAGAAACAACATTCACATAAAGCTATAATCATAAAAAATGTAAGGTATATTAATGTGCTATATGAAAATAATATGAATGACGTTCATTTGCATAACTATTTTTTTTACTCGCATACAGGTAATAAAAATATTTTATGCTAATAAATTTATATAGATTTAGTTATAGGAGGAAAAAATCGAGAAGAAATTTTTTTTAACTTACCTAGAAAAGTAATACATATAAATGCAACTGGAAAAAAATAGCTAATACAGTACCAGTTTAATATAAATTTTTTATACTTATTTTTTAATATTGTAAGTTTTAAAAAAAATTTTATTTGTACAAATTTGGAAAAAGTTACAACGTAAACATTGAATGAAAAGCAATAAATAAAGCGTACAAAATGAAGGGATTATAATCCAATGACCTGAGGTAGACTGACCTAGATCGGTAACTTATTGTTAGAGCAGAAATGAAAAGTTATTTCTGTTTTTTACCCTTATTTTTAAAGACAGTTCAAGATTAAGTCAAAAAATTTCATGGGTCATTTTTTGACTGTGAGACAAAGATGAGTATAATGATCATCAAAAGTATTCATTTATAGTGAGAAAAACATCTTTGATGGGCCCTCTTACAATTCCATGAAACTTATCAATCTATTGTTAATGTTTTGTGCTTCAAGACTTTTTATGTGATCTTGGATTCCTATAGAACTGAAGTAGATTTGGATAATAAAACTTATATTTTATATCGAAATGAAAAATTCATTTAATTTGTCACATTTTTATAAAATAATTTTTTCCAAGCTCATAATAAATGTACATTTGGAAATAAATATTTTAATAAGATTTTGAGTCCTTTTATGATATTTTCTTTTGCACACATACTATATCATTATAAGTTTTATTTGTATTCTTACTTAAACAGTATCTTAATTTATTATTTAACAATACTTAAACAATTCACTTAACAATACTTAAACAATTTATTTAACTATGTTTAAATAAATATGACACAAGATTTTTTTTTCTTTAAAAAAAAAGTCGTATAACTGATTATATTTCATGGTAAAAATTCTCAAACTATAAGTTGGATTAGATTAAACTTTGAAGGTTTAATACAATTTAAAACTTTGTAAATCTTATTAATTTCAGTTTGAAAAAAAATAAGTATTTTTGAACTTGTGCCAAGACTGAATTTCAAACCGTATTGTGTATTTAAGATAGAAGTTTGTATTAATGGTAGTTTTGCTGCTAAGCATGGGCGGATCGTGAATTTGTGGGGCTCTGGGCTGAAACTACTTTGGGGCCCTAATAGCCATTTTGNTAGTGGCCCTTCCAGCATGCCAAATTTTTACTCTGTGCTTAAAATTTGTTTCTGTTGTATCTTTTTTCTATCGTTCAAAAAATATGTGCAATAAAAGAAAGGTTCTACATTATAGTCTCATCACCATGGGCGGATCGTGAATTTGTGGGGCTCTGGGCTGAAACTACTTTGGGGCCCTAATAGCCATTTTTGTCAAAAAGCTGTTTTCTATAGTGATGTAGATAAGTATATAGAAAAAATAGGACAATAAAATAGTTATATTTATTTTTTTATTTATTTATTTTAATTTGTCTATACAAACAGCAACTGTACAACATTATTGCAAAAGAAATTGACAGGTTATGTGTAGTTATGTTATATAAATTATAAAGCAACCTTTCTGCATTTTGATGCTGCTAATTCCTTTATTTGCTCATCACATTGTAAGTCCTTTGTTAAATCACAATTTATGGAAGGAACTGATAAATGATTTAGTCGATGGTTCGACATTGTTGTCCTATATTTGTTTTCTATATAAGACATCCTGGAGAAAGAGCGCTCAGCTTCACAGCTAGTGAATAAAGTAAATAAGATTTTAACTGAATGCACTCATTCACTAAATGCTCCTCTGCGTCATCTAGATAATAATCAACAATATTACGTACACTTTCCAGATCTATGTTTTCTATATTTTTGTCTTGCAAATCCAATAAATATTTGAATTTCTTGCTATACATCTCATAGACTTGGCTCCTTTTGTTTAAATCCATAATCAGCTTATTCAACGCAACGTTTAGCGTGTCTCTTTTAAATTTTCCTGCGCCGTATACTGAGAATTTATCTGTAGACTTATCAGAAAATTTTTGAGTAATGCGTCTCTTGTTTATCTCATTGTAGTCTATTCCCACACTAGTACTTAATTTTTTTGCTCTCGATCTGATTGGTGCCTTATGTTGTTCACGAAATCTTTTAATGATACAATTGACTTGTTGCCTTCACATGTCAACCACACTAACATTGATTTCTTATGTTCATTAAAATTTTCATGATTTTCTAAACAAGTTCCTATGTGTTTCCAATCAGAAAATCCGGTCGTGTATTGAGAAGGGATTTTAGAAAAAAGTTTGCAAGTCAAACTAAAACAGTACCTACCCTGGTTGAATAACATAACCAGGATCTTTCCAGTGATTGACCATTTTTCATTTTCGTAATGAAATACCTATTTGAAAATGTTCTGTTTTGTTCTTTGTATTTCTTTATTGAAGATGAATATATATTTTTCGGATCTTTATTTTAAAAGTCAGTCATTTCATGTGAGAATATGTCATTAATAAAATTATTATTTAGCAATTCTGGCCACAAGCCCACGTCAACATATTTCTCAAACTCAATTTTAATATTCTCTAAATTTCTTTCCGCCTTGGTATTACCGTCCTCTTGCTGAACACCAATATAGTTTTCAGTGGGATCAGAGGGTTTTTGGTAGTCAAGAAAGTTATTAGTAAACTAAACAAGTTTGTCCCTCTGAACGCGAGAACAGAAGTGCGGAAAAAAAAATTACGTCGGGCGTTAAGCGGCGCTCCGGGAAGTCCCCCGCAATAGACGCGAAAAAATAGACTGACCAAAAACAAGCGACGGGTAATTCCCCGTTCCATTCTATAGACGCGCACATGCATGGGTTGATTGATCTCAGGGTTCCCAACCTTATAATACTTTTTTTTTATAATATTAGATATTTTTTCAATTCAAAATATCACCTATTGTTTTCAGTGGGGACTGTGGCCCTTTGTATCCACGGGGCCCTGGGCTGCAGCCCAAAAAGCCCTTAAGTAGATCCGCCCCTGCTGCTAAGAATAATTTTTAAGAAAAAAGAATTAAATAAAGCGTATTGTTTATTCTCTAAATAAACTCATATTGTCAAAAATTTCTTTTTACTTACATTATTTTTCATTTTTTAAATAAAAATTGGAATTGTGAAAAAAATTGGATTTTGCCAACCTGGCTTGCTGCTATTAAAGCAAATAATTTGTCGAGTTATTTCTAAGGAGAAATTGTGGATGGATTAAAAACATGCTTAAGTGTTTTAGTTCATTATCTTTTTTGAATATCAAAAAGTGATTTCTGAGAGGAAAGATACAAATTATTATTAAAATATGTAAATATTTTAACTTTAATGGTCCTTCTCAATACATTTTTGAAATAAAAATATGTTTTATAAAATTAAGATTGCATTTCAAATACTTTGAAATTGTTATAAATTTCAGGGTAACAGTTGATTTTTCAGAAGTATATGGTTAAAGAGTCAGCAAAAAATAAAATTGTTTTCTAAAGGAAAAAACATAAGGAGGCTGCTTAAATATCATGTAATCATCTAAGGGATGGTGGTTTATGAATTGCTTTCTGATACAGTAGGTGCATGCTAAGTTCCGACGATGATAAGAGCATACATTACCATGCACAAGGTTTAGAAAGATTACTCACAATCTGTGCACACACAAAAGATGTTTTTAACGGTAACATTAAAATTGCATTTTCATTTACCATTTTTATCGTTTTGCTACTCAAACATTTTTTTAAAATATGTACTGTAATTTCAGATGCATTGCTATATGATCTCGAGCAAAATTATGTGTTCAAGTTTTAAAAACTATTTCTTTTGACTATAATAAATAGGAAAATAAAATAAATTTACTAGTTATAACATGCTTACTTAACCAAACTTTGAGTTTACTAATGAAATCAAAACTTTAAATTTTTTGAATAAAACAAATTAATGTGTATGACAAATTTTGTTTATGTCTAATATAATTTATGTTGGAAGTCGAAAATTATAATTCAACAGTGAATTTCATTCGTTTTATTATTAAACAAAAATATTTATTGTAAAATAATTGCTAACTTTTGTTCAAATACAACTATTTGTTACCCAGTTCCAAAAAAAAAAAAAGAAGAGGCATTTGTTACATAGGTATATGAGAAATGCTTAAGCGAAATATTAAATTTCCTCAAGCAGGAAAGAATTTCTTGTCCATGAAACTAAATTACAAGAATAATGCTGCATACAAATAGTATGAGAGGTTGTAAATCACTTTATTTTGCTGAGAAGGGTAAAAAGGAGAAAGCAAACTACACTTACATAAGATCGCAACGGCTTAGAGAAACACAACAAGTAAAAGATTCTCAGATGCTTTATTTATTTGAAATGATAATAAATATTACATCAAATTATTTGTAATAAGAAACATGGAAATAAAATTTCACACCAGTAGAAAAAATAAAGCAATTCATTAAAATATATAATATATATACTTATAAATAAATTAAACTAAAAAATCTCGAATTTTCAATCAGCTTATTAAAATTTAAAATGACTTTCAAACACCGTAAAATTATTTCGACTAATTACAATAGACATTTAAAATATTTCTGGTTTTCCATGTCTTTCAGAAAAGTTATTACAAACAGTCATAATTTTTTTGAAAAAAATCAGAGTAACTAAAAATTCTACAATTAGCATTAAAAAATATAAACTCATTTAAATTCTCTAGCACATTTATTTCTAAAAAGAATGTTAAGCATTTATACATACAAAATTTTAAAGTAACTAATTAAAAAAAGAGAGAAACAATCTGTTTTAAGGGATCTACTCAGCATAACATTATCCCAACAAAACAAATTATTTTAGGTATAAAATTTCAATGCAATTATGTAGAGATGTCCATCCAATCAGGCAGAACTGGATCACGATCATTTGACCTTCAGCGATTAATAATTGCATCTTTTGGTTGCTAGAAGAAACAAATAATTTTTCTTGTTTGCTCTATTAACAATCATTTGATGCATAATTGAAGGTAAAGATAATTATATATATAGAGAGTTTCTACTCAAATATTAGAGTATGTAAAAATGCTACAAATTTTTTTTTTAGACGAGGTAAAATGGCAATAATTTCTGGCCAATAAGCTGAACTACTTTTTGATAATTTTATGTAATTATATTACATTTCATACATTTGCTAAAGGCCTCAAAATATTTTAAACAATGCGTAACTTTCTGTTTTCATACGAATTTACAGAAAATGAACACCAAACTATTAAAAATGTAGAAAATTTATTGCTTGCAATGAAAAGAAAAGAGAAAATTCAAACCAAAATTTCCAAATATTTTAAATAAATGTGCTTATTCCATTCCTTTTACATTGTAAATATTTTTGCATTAAGCATGTAATTTTTTCAATTAAATTTCTTTATACTTATTTCAAATTTATTAACTTTCAAGTTAATTACTTCCTCATTACTTTTTAAACATTTTCAAGTCATTGTTTGATATGTTGACCTGGAATGATAGTTTTCTTGTATCCATCAAATAGTTCCATGAATAACAACCGATACAGGTTTTACTATATTGGTTTGAGAAACATAAATTCAACCATTTTGTCTTGATTCAATAATTCTCAATGGAATGAAGCAAAATAGATTGCTAAATCAATAAAAAATCTTTGGTGAAAGGTCTGAGTTTTATTCTTAGCCATTTTGAACTGAAGTAATCCTATCTAACATGTTTTTTAGTACATTTGCAGAATTTATTCACTAAAAATACATACTTCAATCGAAAAATAAAATATCTAAACAATATTCATTATTATGATGAACAAATGAATGAAAAATGTTTCATTTCAATAAACTGTATAATTTCCCCCTGTTATAGTGGGAAGACTCCTTAAAAACAAATATTTCATAGCAGAATAAAAAAAAAGCAATATAAAGTCTGTCTATGTAAAGAACTCTGATTACCATTCATCTAGAACAGGGATGGGGAAACTACGGCCCGTGGGCCAACTGTGGCCCGCCTGAAGGTTTTATGCGGCCCGAGGACAGAATTTTAACTTGCCGATCCGTGGCGAATATAAACAATATACATTATACGTCCATTTTATTATCTACTTTGTTTAAAGCTATTTTTGTTCTTTCTTTTTTAACAAAGTACTGATGACCTTTTTACTTTCTCTATTTTTGTTCGACAAGCCATAAATTGATGGAAATAGTTAGCACAGACAGCTTCAATTAGTAAAATGGTGAAAGCAGAAGTTCCTTATAGAATAGCCGTAGATTAGCTCCAACTAGTGTTTGTCTTTCTCGAGAAGCTGACATATGGAATTAAATATAGGTGAATTGTACTTCACATGAGGCAGACTACACATTTTTAAGTTCCAACGAGCGGATTTTTCTGCCGGGGCGAGTTCTAACATTATTTACTGCGTATGGAAAGATTGCACACATACAACGTCATTGTAAATAATAGTGAAATTATTAAATGCATAAAATGGCTACTGCTTTTTTGAGTTATTTGTAAAATTTCTTAACCCAAAAATGGCAAATAAAAAACGCTAAGTTGATGTAGAGTGCCATGCGTTCAATGATGAATTGACTTTTATTTCGGAAATTAGAATTTTTATTTTAGAAATTTTTACTAGGCCCACCAAATTTTTTTTTTTATAGAGTTTTGGCCCACAACCAAAAAAGTTTGCCCATCCCTGATCTAGAACATTGATAGTGACTAAGGTTTTGAGGTTTAATTTTAAGTAGGGGTGGGGTGTTAGACCGATATTTATGACAGATTTTGGTTAGAGTCATTTTCGTCAATACCCTTTTTGAAATGTAGTAATTCTTGTTTTCACAACAGCAGGCAGCCTTAGACTTTAAGATGAGAGTTCTTCATATAGACTGGCTATAAAGAAAGCATAATACTAATTAAGAAAACATAGGAGATAATGTATGATTTATTTTTAAAAGGTTAAGGATTTGAATTTCAAATTCGTAGAAGTGTAAAAAGGATATTGACATATAAGTTACTGGCAAGTATGAAACGATGGCATGGTATATAATACTGAATGTTTCTAGGCAAAGTATAATATGTGAGAACAATTATGTTCTACAGATACACAAATGATATTTAGGCAAAGTATGAAAAAATCTGATAAGGCTTTTATATAAATGACATGCACTGTCAAAAATACAAACGTTATTCTGAAAAAATATTGAGAGTGCAGCTAAAAAAATTCATTCAAAATACCTAAAGAAAACAGAAAGTTGTAAACATTTATGCTGTTCCTATTAAGGACATCAAAATGTTCATTTAAAAAATAAGAATGAGTTTTAAAGTCTGTGAGGAAACTGAAATCTGCAAATTAGGGTCCCAATGTCAGTAGACAATTGTAAATTTTAGAACTCACAATTTAATTTCAGATTATTTGTAATTTGCTATACCTAAGGAACTATTTATGCATATCAAAAACACTTTACACACAATTTTTAAACTTGTTCATATAAAGATAAATTCATGCTAGAAAAAACAAATGATAAAAGTAACTTTTAAAGTAACAATTTTTCATCATTTATAAATTTAGAATAGCTGAAAAAGTTTCAAATTATACCATGCACAAACGTTTACAGAATTTTAGACTATGATATAATAAATAACAAGAGCCAAAATTCAAACAGAATTGGATTAATTGCTCTTCAAAAATAAGAATTTAAAAATACAAAATTTTTATTGGTTCGCATAAATAAATCTAGCAAAATGGTAAATAATAAAGTTAATATTAAAAGTTTTAAATTTTTTTACCTTACATCTAGACCACTTAGTTTGAAAGTTTAAAATCCAAATCTGTTAAAAAAAAGATGCATTTATTCACAGAAATTATATTTTTGTGCTAGATTTTATAACTTAAAACATTGTCTGTAAAAATTAATTCTCACATTTAAAGCTCAAATCTTTTAGATTGCATGCTAATATGCAAAATTCTATAAACTAGATATTAAGTTATTTAAGTCGTTCTTTATTTTGAACTCTGTACACTTGTTTTTCAAATTTATGAAGTAACAAAAATGCAGATGTTGAAGCAGTCTTCACATGTTAGAACTGCCTATAAAAGATCAAATTATATTTTTCTGTAATTGGTTTCACAAACAGTTTCTCTATGTTAAAAATTATGCAGTAAGGTTAACATGAAATAATAATGTAATGTTTAAGATAGGCAGCAGAAAAATGTATCAATATTATTTTCAAAGTTCAGTTTGAATACATATAATTAAATATAGTCTAATGGTAAACAGAAATATAATTGTAAAGTGTGAAAACTTTTTAGCAGTTTAAATGATAATTTGATCTCTATTCCTTGACAATATTTTTTTTCTTTGAAAATTGTTAAAATGATAACAATAAGAAAATATTTCATATTTAAAATCATATTTATTATATAAAGGTAATTAACTTTTTATAGCACAGTAGTTACATAACACTTTCAGGCATAATTTAACAGCTCTTCTCAAGTGCAGATTTTAGAATTTGCTGGTATATAATAAGCTAATATTTAGTCAAAATAATTCATAATTTTCGTTAAAAAAAGTAATAAGTTCTTATTCTGAGTATTGACTTTATTATAAAAACTTTTATCTGCGTTCTATACAGGGTGTAAATGATTTTAATCAAATGATTAAAATCATGATTTAAATCAAATGATTTTTTAAAAAAAATCACTGATTTTAATCAAAAGACGAATTAAATGCAAAATTTGATATAATATCATATGGCTGTTGAGCTCATTTGCTCAATCTTTTGGCAAAAGATTTGCAAGATTCCATGCCTAATGTAACAGAACATGTTTTACAAGTTATAACATATTTCCGAAATCATCAAATAATTAGAGCTAAATACAATGAGCTTAAAGGTACTGGATTAATTCGGCCAACTGAAGTGCGCTGGAATTCTATGTGTGATTCATTAGAAAGCTACATCAAGAATTGGTCAACTTTCATGCAAGTTTGTGAGGATAATAGGGATGATATCGACACCAATATCAGGTCAAAAGTCATGAATATGGCAATTAAAAGAAATGCAGAAGATATGCTTTTAATGTTAAAACCCATTTCTGTAGCATTAGATAAAATGCAAAAAGATAATTGTAGTTTATCAAATGTTGTCAACATCTGGAAAAATTTAAAGGAAACTCTGAAAGATTCTAATAATAATTNTATGACAAGTAAACAGAAACAAAAAACACCACTATCAAATTAAATTTATATTTGGAATCCAATTTAAGAAATACAAACATTGAAAACTCAAAAATTTTGTATGCACAATACATGAGCTTCATATTATAAGAATTCCATTACAACATTAAACAAGTACATACAAATATAATCTAATTAAAAAATATAATTACAATGAAAGATTTTAACCGTTAAAAGAACTCAAAAGAGAATAGCAGCAATAGTCATAATAGAATTTTTAAAAACTTAATATGAAATACACTTTGTTTTAAAGTAGTTTTATCTTGAAAAAAGTAGTAGTTTAACTTTGTAATGTTCTCTCAATTAACAGACTCAAAAGATTTGATCTACTAACATTGCTAGCAAAACTAAAGTTTTGTATATTTTTTATTACCTTTTGCTCAATTTTTTTATTATAGCATGGCGGTTTGGCAGATGGCAGAGTTGTCACGTAATAAGTTATATTTTATTCACAAGTAAGTTTTGATACTTATGTATTTAAGTGTTTGTAAGATTTCATGTGTGTTTAGCTCATGCTAGCTAAACTAAAAAGTTTTGAATATTTATAATTTCTTTTGTTCGCATATTTTTAAAATTGCACGGAGGTTAGGCAGGTAGCAGAGTTGTCAAGCAATAAGTTATATTTTATCTGTAAGTAAGCTTAGATACTTACGTATTTAAGTGCTAATTGTTAAATCTCATGGCTGGATATCATGTGTATGTCAACCAGAATGTTTACTATGGAATACTGAACTCTGAGGACTACGAGTGAAATAAAATCCAAAGATCTCCTTATTTTAATTTGTCAAGAAATATAGTCGAAGAGAATTCATGATGTTCCAACTGCTGCATGCTTAGGGATTCAGCCAACCAACATGCATTATTGTGTTCAAATTTGCCAACCGTATGTTTTGTTAAGAGCTCTGTTCAATATAGAAGTTGGTCCCATGTTACTACACTTATACTCTACTTTTCCCTTGGATACCAATGTTGAAATAAATAAACTTTGTTATAATTTTCCTCCCATTTCCTGATTTTGAGTGAAATGTCACATCTTTCAGTTAATATCACAATTTCAGTTAACTACAAATGCTTACTTCCTCACAATCAGATCTGGAGCTAAGAAAAGAATAAGCTTGAACATTGATCCTCTTCTCATTACAAAATTTTCCTATTTCTTTTTGAGTTAGGTATAGATGAACTTTTATCTAAGGAATCATTTAAAAAGAATGCTAAAATATTTGAACTAGAAAAATTTAACCATAAAAATTAAATATAAAAAAATAACCACAAATAATTGATACTCATTTATTAAAAATACATACTTATTTACATACTTGTACAAGCAAATAGGACAGTACCATGGGTCCCTGAATATAAGGACCTTAAAATATTTCCCAATTTAAAAGATATTTTCTAACATATTAAAAGTGCCCCGGGGATTGAGGGGCTCCACTTGTGTTTGCCCCTAAGCCCCCGAGAATCTGGCTACACTACTGAACTTTACATTAATTAACTCTTTGCTATATGCAAAATAATAATAAATAAATCTATTATAATTTTAAATTCAATTAAGAAGTTATATTATTATAATATTGTTCAAGATAGTTTAATCATTAATCCATAAAGTAAACAAAAAAGTATTTTAATATATTCAAATTTAATTTTAAGAATCTTAAAACTATAACAAGCAAAAGACCACCCTTTAAATTAATAAATTTTTATTCTGTATTCTTAAATGCACATTTCTCTAAATATGCAAAATTTATTCTGCATTCTTAAATGCCCATTTTTCTATCTATGCAAAATTAAATAAATAAAAATTTCTCCTTTATGAAGTATATTTAAGGCAAAATCATAAAGTTTAAAGTGCTTAAATTTTATCATGATCTTTTTTGATAATATCCATTAAAAAAAATTTTAAGTAAGAAAAAAATGTCAATCACCCTAAATTAATCTATTAAATACTTTTATCTTATTAAGATTAAATACTGTACCTATAGAACAGCAGGCACAACACTACAGTACTGTAATAACTCCTGAATATGCTGTTTAGTGTAATTGGAGACCCCTATTGCTTTGAATTTGCCTGTAAAAATAACATTTAAGAGCATTGCTATCTTGATATACATAGAACCTTTCCCATAAAATATATTCTTGCTTCACATATTCTTGTGAAATATCAATTTTGCAAGAACATTTAAAACATTATTAAAATCTTCAACTTAAAATTTTTTGTTCTTCATTCAACAAAAACACACTGACTTATTAAATAATAGCATGTGAAATAATAGCGTGTGATGAACTTAGCAAATAACTGGAGTACCTTGGTTTTAAGCAAATACAATAAAATGAATAATTTTGAAAAATTTGAATATTAATAAAACAAAGGCCTCTACTCAACTCAAAGGGGTCAATATTTTCAAGGGGACAAAATAAAAGCACACAGTTACAATAGTTCTCAAAATTTCACATTCAATAAAATGTTTTTAATCTGTGAAATAAATTTTGTAACTTAGCTGAATTTAAATATTTAAATTAATGAGAAATTTTTTCTATAATTGCTTGAAATTAATGGTTTCTATCTTTCACTCTCATTGAACAAAAATTAGAAGAAAACCTTTTTTCAAATAAATCAATTTACTAAAAAAAAAACAGGGAAAAAGCATTGTCTATGATTGATCTCATTGCGTCCCAATAACTGATGCACAAAGACTTACAAAACAAAATAAACTTAACTGAATACCTTCTTTATACATCTCCTCCAATTTAAGCCAGCTTTCTTTTCTGAGTTCAGCATTCTTTAGATCATCAGGTTTCATCCCAGATGAACCAGGCCAATGAATAACGTAAAGATCTAAATAATCTAACTGAAGATTACTTAGTGATGCTAATGCTGATATTTTAGCCTTTTCAGAACCTTGATTTGCAGGGCCTAACAAACAAAGAAAGACATGAAAAATTTGCATACCCTATTAATTCCACTGAATATGAATAAGATTTTTTAATTTACAAAGATGAATGTAGACATCTTTTAAGCCTTTGAATTACATTCATAAATAAAGATTATTCAAATTAGTAGCATTATAGAAAAAAAACAAATAGACTCTAAGTGGAAAGTCTTTCAACTTGCTTGAGTAGGATCAAAAAGTATCTCATATTCCATTACTTAAAATAGGATCAAATAATGTTGTTTAGTTTTAAAACTTTTTTTTAATTTTTATAATAACTAAACATCAATTATAAAAAGCTTATTCAAAAAGTAAGTCTATAAAAAAAAATTTAAAATTATTATATGAAAGTACGAATATATCTCTTATTTAGAGTATCTTTATTTCATATAGACTCATATTTTTTTATAATCATGTACAGAGACATATTAAAATGTAACTAAAAATATATCTATATTTTCAAGATTCATGAAAATTAGAAAAATTTTTTTAAAATGATCCCCTCAAATGCACAAAGACTTACACAAAACAAAATAAACTTAATTGAATACCTTCTTTATACATCTTCTCCAATTGAAGCCAGCTTTCTTTTCTGAGTTCAGCATTCTTTAGGTCATCAGGTTTCATTCCATATGAGCCTGGCCAATGAATAAGGTAAAGATTTAAGTAATCTAACTGAAGATTACTTAGTGATGTTAATGCTGATATTTCCGCCTTTTCAGAACCTTGATTTGCAGGGCCTAACAAGCAAAGAAAGATATGAAAAATTTACATACTCTATTAATCAGCTGAAAATGAATAAGATTTTTTTAATTGAATGAATGTAAACATCTCTTAAGCCTTTGAAGTAGGTTTCTAAATAAAGTTTATTCAAATTAGTAGCATTGAAAATAACAAAAAGAAATAGAATTTAAGTGGAAAGCCTTCAAACTTGCTTCAGCAGAAGAGAAAAGTTTCTCATATTACATTACTTAAAACATTACTTACTTACAAGACATAGAGTATTGTTAAATATCTATCACTAATGAAAAAGGTAACAATGTATTCCAAAGAAGAGCTCAAACAAATGCTATACAATGTAAACAACTGCAGTAGACCTTTTTTTTTCTTCAGAAAATAAAAATGATACAACAATATTCTTTTCTATATTAACAAACATTATTTAAGTAACATAGTTTCAATTTTTTTAATGACATAAATAAAATAAAAAATGCAAGTAGCAAGGAAATATGTATGTGTTTATTTAAGTAAAATATGTTTTAATTATGTTAACAAAATTGAAATAAGTTGGATGTTTTTAGATAAATTAAAAACATATAAGTTGGTTAAAAGCAAAAACAGCATAACTTACAAATATTTTATTTATTATCAGTACCAAAGGCAAAAATATATTCAGAAAAAGACAGAAAATCTTAAGTATGTGGCGATATCCAATTTCATTTATTCAAATATGTGGCTAGGCTTAAATATCTCTCCAAAAGCACTCAGAAAAGATTCCTTGTTAGTTCTAATAGGTTATGAACACATAAATATTAATTAAGAATTCATTTTTAAATAATTAAAAAATAGCAAAATATATTTACAAAATTTATTAAGTAATAAAGACATCTTTTCTCTTTAAATCAATCTTCTTCAAAACTTGACCAATAGAAGATTCGCTTTTATAAACACTTGCAGTGTCTATTTTTAATTAATATAAATACATTGCAATAATAACATATGATTAAAAAGTAAAAAGGATACTTTGAATTTAAAATAATTTTTCGGATTCTATTTTTAATATTATTTTTTTAGCAGCATTAATAAAGGTTTCTGAAATTGATTTTTAAACTTTCTAATGGGCACATGTAAATATAATTCCCCAGATGATAAGGTTTAATAAGATTAAGGAACATACGAGTAAAATAAGTAAACAAATATCAAAAACATAAAAAAAAATACACGAAATGTTTAAAGGTAAATGAATTATAAAATAATAATAACAAATAAAAAGTAAGAAGAAAAATATACCTATAAGACGATATCCTAGATTAAGAGCAGCCTCAGTAGCTCCTATGACTTCTGGAGATTTTAAGAGAAATGTCCCAACTATAAAAATAAATATCTAATATAAGATATATTTGTTTAGAAAAAAAATTCAATATCTATAAAACTTTAAAACAATTCTAAAACACACAAAAAATCTACTACTTATTAATCCCAAAAATCTCTAATAAAAACGTAGAAACAAATTGTTAATCTCAGCACTAATAAGGCAAAATCTTTTGGTTATATACAGCAATCATTACATAAAACTATACCTTTTCCAATCAGAGTTACTTAATGAGACTTGATTTTTCCCAATTTTCTCATCTATACATTTAATATCTAATATTACTTCGACTTATCATGAAATATTTGTTTCTGTTTCCTGTTCATAACAATAAAAAAATGTCATTCCTTAAGCTGGAAATTTAATGCGGAAATAATGAAAAATATAATCTGTGTTTAAATGGCAATAAACAAATTCTTTGTAACGAACGGGTCAACCACCTACTATTTTAGAATTCAAGTTTTTAGAATTTTCAATTAAGCATCAGACATTAAAAAAATTGAAGATTTCAGATTCAGACTTCATTTGATTCATTGATTGTTTATCTGAACCCGTTCTGAGAGCTTATCTTTGTTATGTTAAAATCCGAATTTGAGAGGGAAATATTAATCTCGTTTAAATGACTAAACTACTTTTACACACTTTATTGTTTATTTTTCTTTGCTTTGTTTCTTAATTAAAGCTAACACTGAATAAAAGTTTAAAATATTTATATTCAATTTCAGTTTAAAAATTATCTCTATTTAGAGTGAATTTCCCTAATTTTTTCTTCTTATTTTATATAAAAGCTGTAAGCAAAAACAAACATGATTGGATCTATTGATTAATCAATTTTGATTGTAAACACGTTTTCAATAGCCGCTGTACTGATTTCATACCTTATGATTTTTAACACATTTTAATCATTAAATGCTATTTTTTTTCCAGTTTCTCATTTCTGTACGTAACTTATTTGAAGAACATAGTTTAACTTGTTTTCAGTGTTTTGAATTAGAGTTGACAAAATGAATATGTTAAAATATAAAGAAGTTATTGAAGAAGGAGATTTAGTAATCATATATTTAGATGTTCGTCATATGTATCCCCTCACAATTAAAAATGACGAAGTTTTCCAAAGTAAATACGGTGCTTTAAAACATAATGATTGTATAGGTAAAAAATTTGGCAGTCCTGTGCCATGTACTAGAGGATATGTGTATGTACTTTTTCCTACACCTGAGTTGTGGACTGTTACCTTACCACATAGAACACAAATTTTATATGCTGCAGATATTAGTTTCATAATTATGCAATTAGATTTGAAACCTGGATCTGTTGTGTGTGAAGCTGGTAAGAAGTGTGTTTAATCTATATTTTATAAATTAATAAAAACTTGGCGACCATTTTGGCATAAGTTTGGTTTAGATAGTCTTCTCATTAGAACATACTTATGTCAGTTATGCTCAGTTTTAGATAGTGGGCTACCGTACTGAAAAATGCAGAAGCCATCCTTATGTTCTTGTATTTGTAATTCTAATAATGCAATGGGCTATTAGATTATATCTGAAAGTAATAATAATAATATACATACATATAGCTACTTTTTTTGTGTTTCAATGCGGGAATAATAAACGAATAACAATTGAAGGCATTAAATCTAAATTATTGTAATTTTAAGATTAAAAAGTATATTAAATTTTGAGAACAAAAATAAAATGTTCATTAGTCATAAAAGTTAAATCTTATTACGGAAACAAAATTTCTTGGTAAAATTACTAATACAGTGCTAAATTTGTGTGAAGGCCATCATTGTAATTCTGAGATAATTTTCATTTATCCATCAATTAAATTTTTCTTTCTGGGAAATTTAACAAATTCATGGGAAATTTTCTTTCATTGTGTAATTAACCTATTGTCTCAAACACAATTTGCTAAATAAAATGGTCAACATTTGATTCAAATTCTGCGAACCAGACTAGCAACTGTTACTAGACTAGGAGTGCACAAATAAAAGTGATTTTTTTTCTCTTTCATACTGTACTTAATGTTTTCGATAATTCTTCCAAGTTAAAGGGATTTCTGGGACTTTTATTTATAAGCCATTCAGATAAAGAAAGAAATGAATTTATTTCATGTCTAATGAAGTTTTCTCCCAATTTTATTATTTTTATGTCCCTACCTATTATGATTTGATAATGATAGATAAAAATTAAGGTATGGTTATGTTAACATAGTAGATAGCAAATATTAGTCTAGCTAAAATATTTTAAAATTACATTAATAGTAAGGCTAATCACAAATCAAAATCGTGATGTCATAAATAAGAATCTTTGTTATATTAAACTCTGTTATTAATCATAAGAATTGAAACTTGAGATCAAATTTCATAGTTTTCACTTTGACAACCTTGTAAAATTGTGTGAAGCATTTTCACACATATATTTAATGAATCTGAATATTACCCTCAAGTTTTCAATATGCTATAGTATATGGCCTAAGGGCTACGAGTGGCCATCAAAGTTTTTTTGACTTGCTTCTGAGCTTAATTAAAATAGGAAAAATCGTGATTTTTTTCAGCCATTCTTTTTAAATATCATGATTTAATTCGGCTTTTCTGAATCAGTGTATGTATTGATTGTAATAATTTAATTTTAGAAGTTTTATTTCTTATAAAGAGTTTAGTGTTTGTTGTGAAATGTAATTTATTATGAATTTGTTAAATAAATTTAAAACAAAACAAATTAAAGAAGATCTGTGAGAAAACTTAATTAATCTGATGCTCTATTTTTAACAGTAGTTATAATTTTTGTTCCTTGTGTTCAAGATAACTTTTCTGGTTAATGCAATTTTTTAAAATTTCTGTTTTATTTTTTTATTTTTTTTACACTATAGGTAATGTACCTTTAAATCTGTTGTAATAATTTGTTCTGTAAGAATGTTTTTTTAGATAAATTTTTATTATCTCTGCACTCTAATGAAAAATTTAGCTATGCATGTCCATGTGAAATTGCTAGTTTACTGTAAAATAAAACTGTAGCACATCTTCCATTTTTTAAGATTATATTTTTATACTTGTATTGGCCATCATAATTATATTTTCTGATTTTTGTGGCCCTTAGTCCAAATTCAGCTATGCATCTATACCTATAATTTAAAATAAAGCAGGATTAAATTTTAATAAAGCAGGGTTTCCGCTACGGTAGCTTTTTTCGCAAAATGCGAAAAGACCCCTCAAAAATGCTAAAATTCAAGAAAGCATTTTTGCTAAAGGATTTTACTAAATTCCATAAAAAAAAAAGCTTCCGCGAAAAACCATGACGCTAACATCCATGAAAAAAACTTGATCAAACAAGAAGTAGAAAGAATCTAAATATCTTTTGCAAGAAGAACCATGACGCTAGCGTTCACGAATATACCAATGTTTTATATACCAATGATGTGTCTGAACAGTACCCATTAATAACTTCTGTTATAGAGTATTGTGCAACAATACCAATGCACACTGTTGACTGTGAAAGGGGCTTTAGCTGCCTTAATTTGATTAAAACTAATATTCGAAACAGGTTGTTAATCAGCCATGTAAACAATTTGTTAATGATTAATATTGAGGGCCCTGAAAGTGCATTTAACTTTCAAGAAGCATTTGTAAAATGGGCAAACATGAAAGAAAGGAAGATTGTTAATTATAAACCAAAATGTTTTGATAAATAATAAATGTGTTTTTTTTTTTT